TCAGCATAAAATTTCACATCTTTCATGTTCATAACAAAAATATTCATCGATAGACAGTTAGTCTATTATTTTGGTCTACATCTTTCATCTTTTCATAGCATAGTCTACAACATCCATAAGCTTACAATTTAGCATATCTCATTTCAAGATTAACATGGCACCTTGCCTGCAACGCGATAAAATATTGTAAGGAATTCCTCGTTGATTCTATGTTTGATATCAAAATTAATCAGATAATATTGAACATATAATATTATTTAGATTAGTTTGTTTATCTTAAGTCATCCATTGTCCAATAAGCTGATAATCCACAATGAAGAATATTTTTTGCAGCTCATTCAGATATCAAAATATCACTAGATTTTATGGATAATGCGATATGAGAAAGTCGACTATATAAGCAGTCCAATAGCAGATCTGTGTTCACTGTGAGATAAACACACTCACGCAAAATTTGAAATGTTCATAAAAACAGTAACTTTTTTTATTTGTTTGAACTTGATATTTATATCTGGCTCATTTGGTTGTCAAGTGAAGAAGAATACGAAAACAGACAGTTTTGTTTGTGTTTGTAATAATGATTATTGTGATCCTTTACCTGTTGAACCATTCTCATCACCTCAATCATTGACTATATTCACAACTGATAAATCATATTATCGTTTAACCAAATCAGTTGTACCCGAATCCGATCTTAAGGTTAACCAATCCTCGGATATCAAAGTTACTCTCAATGTCTTTGATCGTTTTCAATCAATAATTGGATTTGGTGGAGCCTTTACTGATGCAGCTGGAATCAACATCAATAGACTAACGAGTGACTCTTTAAAAGATCGTTTGATTGCTGATTATTTTGGGAAAGATGGAGCCGAATACAGTGTTTGCCGAGTTCCAATTGGAGGTTCTGATTTCTCTGATCGTCCATATTCGTATGATGATGTTTTTGATGATTTTGAGCTGAAGCACTTTGCTTTAGCTGCTGATGATCATAATTATAAGGTGAGTTCATCAAAATATTAGTGATGGTTCTTTGAGTTCTTATTGAAAATACAAATTTATTCAACATCAGATTCCATACATCAAAAAAGCTAAGGAACTGAACAATAATCTCAAACTATTTGGTTCTCCTTGGGCTCCACCAGCTTGGCTTAAGACTAACAATGCTTCTAATGGACTGGGGATGTTAATCGGTGAACCTGGAAGCAAATACTGGAAAACATGGGCTAATTATTTTGTTAAGTATGAGCATTATATTAGGCAACCAAAAAAGTAATTTGACTAAACAGTCGGACTAATTCAAAATAATTAATATCTATCGTTAAATTTATTGAATACTTTTGATTTTGATAATAATGATAAAATAATTTCTTGGCTTCAATTTGAGCTTAATTTCATAATTGAAAATATTGATTAACATAATCAAACTATGATTTAATTAATCGATATTTTATTTTCATTTCCCAGCAATCGACTTTCAATCAAAATTTTTATGAATTAATAATCGTAGATTTTAGAGAAATTAACATTAATTTGAAGCTGAGATTCCATATTATCTATGAATAAAATTTTATGCTTCTAATTATTACAATTAATTAATTATGCGAAGAAATTCACCGAAAAAATGACAATTTTTTGACACTTTTTCAATGGGATTTTTGACGAAAATCTCATTGAAAATTGTCAAAAACCCGTTCTATGTGAATTTAATGTTAAATTGCATTTTGATTTTATTACCATAATTAATTAATCGTAATAATTAGAAACACAGAATTTTACCAGTAGATAATATGGGATTTCAGCTTCGAATTGATACCGATTTTTTCAAAATTCATGATTATTCATTATACAAAATTTGTCTTGAAATTCGATTGTTGGAAAATCGAAAAAAAGTGGATCCACTTAAACCACAATTTAATTGTGTTAATCAATTTTTTCAATTATGAAAATAGTTTTAAATTAAAGCTAAGATATTGGTAAATTGTTGATATAAATACCAAAATTATTCAATAAATTCAAAGATGTAAAATAATTATTTGAATTAGTGGGATTTTTTAGTCAAATTACTTTTTTGGTTACCTAATAATATGAATTGTTTTGCTCTTTGTGCTAATGTAATCGTGTTTTTGTCGTTCTTTTAGATTTTTTGACAGTTACAAAGAGAATGGTATCGAATTCTGGGGATTAACACCGCAAAATGAGCCTCTTACGGGTTTGAAACCAGGCTTCGATTGGAATACTTGTGGATTCTCTCCAGAGATGATGAGAGATTTTATTAAAATAGATTTAGGACCGACTCTGAAGGCTGCTGGTTATGGTTTGGATAAGATTAAACTAATGATTTACGACCATAACACCAATCAAGTTTATTCATTTGCAAGAGGCGTTCTGTCTGATAAAGAAGCGGCTAGTTATGTTTCTGGAGTAGCTTATCATTGGTATGCTGGTCACTACTATGATGACTTGAACAAAGTCCATGATCAATTCCCTGATTATTTCCTTATGTCAACCGAGGCATGTGAAGGCTGGATAAGAACTGATCCAGATGTTGGAGGTAAGATCCTGCCTCTTAAAAGATTAACTGTATTGCTTTGATTTCGTTTAATGTTTGAATGAAATTTCGGTTCAATTATTGCTTCTATGCTCAGTTTCATAAGACAATTAGCTAATCAGCAGCCAAGAATTCTGGTCTTTCGATCTATTGTATCTTTCTCAGTGGAAAAATTTTACGATCAATCATTTTTGAGTCTATGAAAGGCTTCTAAAAGAGATTCTACTACTAGATTATAATCATGATTTGATTTTCTAGAAACTCAGGTTCCCTAGAGCCATGTTCTAACAGGATGGACTGAAAACAGAAAACGTTTTCAAAAGCAATGCAAAATGGCAAAAATATTTTGCTTTGTTTGATGGCGTTATGGCTCATTGTTGGAAGATTAATAAGTGCAAAAACTCTGACTTTCGAGTTAAGAGTTATAACCTGATAAACTTTTAGAACTGGACGCATTCGTGTGACCAAAAATTTCTCTGGTCGAAGTTTTTTGATAAAATCGCTTTCAAAGTTTTAGAACTAGATTTTATTTGCTAGTTTTTCTCATTTTAGATTTCGTAGCTTTTTCATTTATACAATAATTTGGACTTTTGATTGTGGATTTAATTGAAGATCGGTTATGATCGCGGTCCACTTTGTATTAAATAAATGAAACTAACTTATGAACATTTAAATCTTTTCAGTTAAACTTGGAAATTGGACTCGAGCTGAGACTTATGCGAATGATATCATTGAAGGACTGAATCATTGGTCAACTGGTTGGGTCGATTGGAATATGGTATTAGACACAAAAGGAAGTCCGAATTGGGCACTAAATTATGTCGATGCTCCAATAATAGTATCTGATGATGGAACTGAATATTACAAACAACCAATGTTCTATTCTTTAGCTCATTTCAGTAAATTCTTGAAACCAGGATCACAAAGAATTCACCATCGAATTGATAAAGGTCAAATGGATGGCGTTAAAATGACTGCCTTTGTGACCCCAACAAACGATCTTGTTAGCATTGTTGTCAATACAAATCCAGACTCTGTTCAAATTACATTCAATGGAGCTGGACCGAATAAGTTTACTCTTGAATTTGGTCCAAGTTCGATACAAACAATCACCAAGTCATTGAACTAAGAAATTTATTAACGTTTTGAAATCTAAATGTAATAAATCAGTTTAATTACAATGAGTATAATTATTGATAAAATAAAAATAATTAAATATCTAAAAACAAATATTACAAATAATACAAAAGAGTCAACTATTGTTGTTTCTCGTGGATTAACTTTTTTTATTGCAAGGGCAGTGAACGATTGCCCTTGACTAGAACTGATTTGATCAGTCAAATCGCATCTGATAAGGCAAGTTAAGTCACGTAAAATTTCACGGGTTCATTCGCCTAGACAGTGATTCCTGAGATATTAGTTATTGGCCTTATATTCATTTCATTTTCACTCAAGAGCTTTCAGTTGTAAAGGTTAGAGATATCTTTATAACTATTTTTATAGCTAATTAGCTCAATTGATTAAGATTAAACAATTCATCTTTAGATTATTTATGCGTACATTGAATTAATACAAACCCAATTGTATTTGTTGCTTATCCTTCACTCATTAATCCAATATTCAAGTGCGAAAAACTCGACCTACGAGTTCCATCATGTTATACCATAATCTATAGTTGAATACCGAAGAGATTTATATTCCTCAATGAAACTCATGAAAAGGTTTATCAGAGGAAAGTAATTATTTGCCTGAATCAATAAATTCTAAGAAAAAAGTGGATTCTTCAATAATTTTCATATTTATTTGTTCTTATATTTTTATTCATAATCTTTAATTGTTAGCTATTTTGATTCTGATTCTGTCACCATCTGATTAAGTGTGAGATTATGCATTTATTTAGCGGTTAAAAATGCTGTTGGGTGAACTGAAACAATTGAAGCCTCATGATTTGAAGTAAACAATGAAGTTAACTGGTAAACCAAGTTCCATTTGGGAAATAATCTTTTCTCAAACTGTTCCTATTCATGGAAAGTCATTAATAGCTAATTAATTTGATTACGAGAGCTTCTTTTTGTTTGTATTCAGTTTGATAAGTATCTGTAATTTGATTACAATTAAATTGTATCAAATGTTAATCAGGAAAGTCGCAAGAAACCTCTATTCTTGACTCCAACAGATTCGGTAAAAGCTCACAAGTGAAAGATTGTTGTTGAACAATTAGCTTAACCTGATTATCTTACGGATAATCTGTTCCGTTTTAATTCACCCACAAGGTTGATGACAATTAATACAAATTAATTAATTTTGGTGAACAATTATCTTCTAATTAGATGCGCACTTGAAAGAGGGAAATTAATAATAACTTGTTCTCACCATTGTCAGAGATTCATAATAATAATGGAACCGTTCGACTTCCATATTAATGGAAACAATTATTAATAACAATTGAAAGTATTTTACAAAAATAATCTTTATGTGAAAAATATTACATTACTACATTGCTGAAGGTAAATTGTGATTACAATGAGTTTACTAATGAATGGGCAAAGGGTTAAAACGAGGACAACAGAAGCAGTGATGAGTATTAATGGGTTTACTTTTCATTCTTTCAGGTAAAATGAGGTTCAACTGGATGATCTTTTCCGTCTAGTAGTGTCTTCTTGGTCCATAAGGGCTTGAATGGTAACTGTCCATACGATAATCTGGTCGTGAGTAGTCTGACTTTGATGGACCATAAGAAGCATAAGAAGGTCTAAGGTAAGCTGGAGCAGCATAAACTGAATGAGTTGGTGGCTCTTTGGCGATCATCTTAACATCAGCAGGGTCTTTTGGTGCAGTTCCAGGTTCGTTGGTAGAAACTGTAGCACGGAATCCATGCTTGTCAGCCACATAGTCTACCTTACGATAGATTCCATGAGCATCAGTATATCCATAAGAGCCACGTTTGGCGCCGTATTCATCACCTAATATAACAAATGAAATTGCATGAAATTACAACGAACACTAAATATGTCTTTTACCTTCTTCTTGTTGGTGATTTTTGTTTCCATAACCATCGTTGATATCATAACCAAAGCTGTATGGTTGAGGTTTGTGATCCTTAACCAAGATTGTCAGTAAAGTGAGTAAAACAAGACAAAATTAGTTGAGTTGAATTAGACACAAATCGGTGCTCTCAGTACGGTCAGTCTCTTTACACTTTTTGGTGCAAAACAAAGTTACTGACAAGTCGATGGCAAAACCGTCATCTGATGTTAAGACGTTGGCATAAAGCAACTGAAGCAAAGTGCAATCTACTTACATAGAGTGGTTCGGCATAAGATGCTTTTGGCGATGCATATGATGGAGCGGGAATGGCATAAGCAGCCTTTGGAATGTGTGAGTACCTTGATGATGGGCCATTGTATCCATAGTATGCTGGTGAAGCAATTGAACAAACTGTTAAACAGCCAAGCAAGATGAAACTCTGTGGATTGAATGAAAAGAAGTAAAGATGAAAATCACAGAAAAGGTCACAATTGAAGTATCCAAATTGTTGTTAACTTTACCTTAATCATTTTCGTTGAATTTTGTTGACTAACTGAACGAATTGAATAAAACGAATTAAAATGTTTTGTAATGTTGATTCAACTTGGTTCTGGTAACTTATGAACTTTTTCATGAAACTTTCTTCTCCTTTTATACCCGAAACAGAGGACGTTTCGTGTTAATTGGCAGCTTTAAGGCGTTCAATTTTGTTGGTCACTTTTCTGGTCGGCCAATGTCGAACAGTTTTGTCAAGGTAAAAAAAGAAGATGAAAAGGAACATGGAAAGACTTGATGAAGATAATGATGATAATGAGGATGATGAGGATGGAAAGAGATGAAGAAAAAAGAGAAAGTTTGTAATGAAAGGTAAACTCATGTCCAGTTAGGATATGGGTCAAGCTGTAGATAAGAAAGTGTAATAATTATTATAATAATAATCGTAACAAAAGTGAGTAAGAAAAGGAAAGAGAAGTAAGAGAAGAAAAGTAAGATGAAATATGAGGAGGAGTTGAATTTGAATTGTGATTTAATTATTATCATTAGCTGTGAAAATGTTGATTGAGGTCAGTAGAGAAGTAAAATGACAATTTCGACTCTTTTTCTTGTTCTTCCAACAGCCAAAAGTGAATTAAAAAAAGGATAAAATGGTCAAAAAATGTCGACTAAGGTTCTTCTCTAAAGCAATGGTCAAGAAGGTAAAAGATATTGACTTCAGTAGTTGACTTTCAGTTCATTACTTAATGACATTACAATTCAAGTGTTTAATTTCATTGTTTCATCGCTCACGTTCACCAGGTTAGTAGCCAGTCTCATCTCTTGATTCAAATCTGGTCAACCTGTCAAAGCGACAAAAATATCAAATTATCACTGATCACGAGTCCGATGAAAGGTCAATAAAAATAGATGAATCTCGAGTTGTGTAGGATTTAATGATTTGTCAAGTGAAGGACATTGGAAACAATTTAATGTTTGATTCAATTTCGGCTAATATGTTACTCGATTGATACCATTTTTGTTAACCTTGGCATTGATGAACTTGCAGTTAATGAGAAAATTAAATTTCTCATTATTTTGCTTTCAATAGGTAAAGGTAAAATTGACATTCTTTATCAGACAAAAACGAAGAAAAATTATTCCTATTTACTCGTAATGATGATGGTAATCACGATGATAATTATAACAGATAATGATTCAACACGTTCGCTAATAAAATGAATTTAAGTGCAAAACCTTTTGGTCAGTCTACTGTTTGATCGCACATTTCATCTCATATTTGATCTAAATTGATATAAATCACGTTTCCAAGTCTTTTTATTGCTAGTTTTGCTATTCAATTGATTCCAAGGAAACTTGTTCAGAATATTTTTTTGGTCAACTTTTCCATTTTCAAAGATAGTCAAATAATCTGAAATCAAGTCATGACTTTAGGTTTGGGTTAATTTGATTAGTAAACTCATAAGGAACTAAACTGGATTAACAAATGCAAAATCAATCATGATCAAGATTAAGAGAAAACAGATTTTCTCAATCAACAATTAATCCATAAATTTGAACAAGTAATTGACCATCAATCAATAAAGTCCATTTTGAATTAATTTCTCGCCAATTGACAATCAAAGTGAAACAATTTGAAAAGGATTTCCATTTAAGATGATTTACTATTCAATCAAATTTCAATTTCCTGATTTGTTAAAAGCCAACACCAAATGTGAGCAGAAGAGTTGGATAAGTAAATAAAAAGTTTCATTTTATTCGCTCGATTTTCGCTATGACGAATCGCATAACGAACTGAATAATAAATCGAAAAATGATAAAATAATTGTTGATATTTTTCGCTGCCAAATTAAATAATCCAAGATAATGACAGTTCAAGATCATTCGAAACGAATTACTTTTAATGGTAAATCATTTTTCTGTTGATAAACAGACAAATAACAATTATGGATAATTTATTGTTGCTATTTAATTGTATCGAGTCAACGCGTTGAAAATGTAATACAAAGTTGAATCAATTAGGACCAATGAATCAACATCAGGATAAAACAAAAATGAAAAGTTCGAAAAAACTTTTCTAAAGTTGAAATGCTTTTCAATTGAAACAATTTGATGTTATCAAACTATTTAAGGATGTTTTACAAAAGTAAAAGTTTGATGTTCATTTGATTGTTTAACGGTCGATGGAAATGATTAAAGCTATTGTCGTAATTGTATTAATGACAGTTTCTCGTGAGATTTAACACTTTACTTAAATGATTGGACATTCAATTGTTGAATGGGAAAATATTATTTGCAAGATTGAATCTGCAAATGAATTAACAAATGGAGAAAATTTTGCAATTTTTTTCTTCTTTTCACCTAACATTAACAATTCTTGATTGTTGTGCATGTTGAATGAGTTGCTTTTTTGAGTGAAAATTTAATTTAAACATTTTCACAACAATTCTCAATGAATTCAGGGTTACCTTGAAATTGTAAAGTAGAACAGTAGTTTATCGTGTAACTTCATTTTCATGATGAATGGCGAACAGTGAAAGTGAACATTAAGATTAACAGTTCATTAGATTGGACAATTTGCTAACAAATGAATCTTGCTATTATTTGAATATTTAGCGAGAAAATTAAACTCTATTTATCAGCAAATGAGATTTTTTCACGATAATTTCAATTCCTTTTTTTAAACCATTTTAATGTGTTTCTTTGAACGAGAAACTAAATTGACTTTGGCTTAATTGGGTTTCAGGTCAAACTGTCTCAATTTAGTATTGAACTTGAGTTTACTCTTGAATGGTCAACTTGAATTGTTTCAATTTAATTATAAATTTCAAATACCTTTTCGTACCTTAAATCGTCTCATTGCAACAATCGACTTTCACTCAAATTGAAGTTTAATTGGATGAATGTATCAATGTTTAGTTTTCACTATTACACTTGTATCTACAATTATCATGTAATGAAGATGAATTGAAGGACAGAACATGAAATTATATGTTTGCAGTGGTCAGTGTTTATTAATGAAAGTGTTGCTATTGTTGTGTTTCTTCGTTTGCTACTTTTAACAATGAGTTGGTTATAATTGAGGTTGAGCATTAAGTGCTGACTGTATGATTGTAAAGTAAATGTTTTCATTAAATGGTTTGGGAAAGCAAAGTGGTTTTACTTCCAATTGTCACAAATATAATTAACTTTAATCGTCAGACTTTTCAAGAGTTTTTCATTCTTTTCAAATTGAGCTTTCAACTTTGCATTTGAAAACAAATGCGAAAAGTCAGTGAAAAGGAGAAACAAATGAATCATTAATAAGGCTTGAGTATCAGTTGATCAAGTGTTTCCTTGTTAGGACATTTAACATCGACAAGTCTAAAAAATTACTCTGAAAATAACGTTCTTTTGTTGAGTAGTTTGTTCAATTGAAAGTTATTCATTTAATTATCAAGTTTAATCAGTTGGGACTTTGAGCAAGGGTTGATGAATTGAAGATGATGGTTAAAGTTTGAACAGAATTAAATTTGCGCTTGAATTTAAAAACATAATCATTATTCACTTACAAATGTTCATTTTCTGCAACATTTCATCTTTTTATTTTGAAACAATAAGAAGAACTTAATTTTTGTGTAATTTTTTCCTTGATTGAAATTCGGTTCTTCAGTTTTTCGTTTTTCCTAGAGTGGAGCAAGTTTTAATTTAGCATGAGATGAAATTTGAATTTGTATTTCGTTTTCAGATTACATCTTGTTTGTCTTTTCGGTCTCAATACACGGTATCTTGTCACTTTGATGTCATTTTCAAATCGTTTTGTTGAATTGTGTTTTTCGGAAAATAAAAGTTTGTAAGTTAAACTATGTACGAAAGTTGGTAAAACTATTAAAGTTGAGTCTTTAACAGATCCTGCTCAGACACTTATAACTATAGACATGAGTCAGATTATGAATTCATGTTGAGTGTAAAAATTTCACTATCAAAGAGACATAATGACACCCTTCTTGCCGAACAGGAAACTTCGAGTTGAAAACTTTCTATGACTTAAGGGAAAACTCTATGTGTCAAATCTGAACATTTATACAGTTATACAATGTAGTTGCCTTCCAAACGAGTGTCTTTGATCGATTGAGCGTAATTTATTTCGAAGTACAAAGATGCTCAAATTTTCCACAGTCTTTTCACACGAGCCATCTATTGGTATCGGAGCTCTAGCCTCATTGTCAGTATAAATAGTGATAGGATAATTCAAATAGTATTTCGTCTTACTATGACGCATATCGGCTGTTTTTTGTGTGGGAAGAGTGTAAATAATCTGAAGTTTTGATGGTTTAACCAAATGATGAGGTTATAATGTAGTTACTTTGAAATAAGTTTTATTAGATGAAATAAATGAAATAATTAAACTCACAAAGTGTTTACACCAGTTCAAAATAACTCAATATCCCTGAGAGAAGAAAACTCAAGATATTCATTCACAATCAATGATTTTAACTTATGCCTAAAAAATTTAAAAATGTGCTTTTTCATTTAAACATTATTTCTAACTTATCATTAGCTTTCTCATGGTTAAAACTTCATTAAAACCAACAAGTTTATTGCTATTTGGATGTGTTTTATGACATAAGGAACACAGACACAGAAAACGCGTTAGTTAATCTCCGAAAAAAATCAAGGAAATATTGAGTAACTTGGCTATCTTGGAGAATATTGACAGGCAAAAGTCATGATACTGCAATCCAACAATGGTTTTCATTTGGACACCGACTTTGTAGCGCAAATTAATGACCATGAAATATAAAAAAAAGGATTCAAACATAAACATGATTATTATGTAACGCTTAAAATTGAAGTCTATTTTTCAGTTTTGATTACTGACCAAGATTTACATGCAGAACCATGAGGTTTCGTTGCGTAAAATCAGTATGCACAAACTGCATATAAACGAATAGACTTTTAGCGAAATAAATACCAAATTGCAAGAACAATCTATCAAGAACAGACCCTGGAAAGAACTTGATTTTTTCATTTTCGTAGAGAAAGCGTTGCCCATAGTAACGAGTTGCTAGCGTATTTTCACCATCAATCAGCTTTCTCTGCTTCTGTTTTTTCAGTTTCAGTTTCTTTCAATTTCAGTTTCAATTGAACAATTTTATAAACATCAAAATATTTTGACCATCAATTTATTAATGACAGGAAAAGTTTACACCATGGGAAAGAGAGTTCCTTTCAATCATGTCCCAAAAATTCATCATAAATGATAACTATGATGAACATGTGAATGTCCAGTCTCAGAATGCAAGTATACTTACCTGTCGTTATTAACGCTCAATATTACAGCTCTGTTTTTATTTAAGGTTTCGCCAGCTTCATCGCAGTCTTCGGAAGTTCTGGGCAGCTCTATACTCGTTTCGCCCAGAAGGAAGTGTCCAAGGAAGCAAAAGAAGAAAAAGCTCAAGAGAAGGGTCGAGGAAAGGGTCGAGGAAAAGGTCGAGGAAAAGCCCGAAGTGAAGTTGCCAATGATGTGGAAAGTGATTTTCAGAGCGAGGAGCAGTTGCAAGAAATAGTATGGCCATCACCAATCTCTGATCACAAACTAATGTTGTTTCCAACCCATTCTGACGGCCACTGTGTTTTAGTCACGCTCGACAATGGAAAAAAAACTTTAAACTACTACGACACAATGAAAAAGTCAAATCCAAAAATTTTACAAAATTACAAAATCATCATAAGCAGATGCTATCCGGACGTAAAGTTCGAATACCTAAATCACCGCAACATTCCACAACAACTTGACCCACATAGCTGTGGCCCATTCATTTGTAATACGCCGCCATGATTGTTTATCATTTTCTCACTGGTTTACCTGAATATGATATTCTGAAACAAAAAAGTTTTAACGCGGCAAGTAGAAGCAAATTTTTCTTTTTCAAAGTTTAAATTTTCATTTTTTTCCTATTGCAGAAGTTGAAAGAAGCAATGTGATTGAAACAAAGAGAAGCGCTCAAGCGAAAAAGTATTCAGGCAACTGATATCATCACTAATTATCAGCCCGAAGAAACGTAAGTATTGCAAACTGTAAATAAATTGAGTGAAATCGATAATTTTGCAATTTTGATTCTAGGCTGGAAAACCCTGCATATTTATCTCTCGTGAAACGAAAGAGAAAAGAATACGAAGAAGAGAAACGCAAGCGGCAAAAGTGAGTAAAATCAAACAAATTTTTTAAATGAATATTTTTTAATCTGAGTTTCATTTTAGGTTGGAAAATTGGCCATTAAATCTCAAACATGACTTTGAAATAACTAGAAAGAAAGCAATAAGGTAATTTTCTAATGATGAAGAAAATCAAAAATGCAACTAATCTAATTTAAATCTAATTTCAGTGATGGAATGAAATTCCGTGCGAAAGGAATGCCATTAGAAGATTCTCTTGATAGACCTTATGACTGGTCTGCGAAAAATTTTGATTCAAATGAATCTACAATTGTTACAAAAGACATTGAATCTTCTTCACAAGGAGACGAACAAATCGCTTCTATTTTGAGTGACATTGTCGATTCGGTTGTGGAGAATGGTGAAGCAAAAAAATCATCTTCGCTACAACAAGATGAAAAAATTGATGTAGACCAGCTGAAAACGGCTGATAACAAAAATAATGAATCAAAAGATGCCGAAATGTCTTCAGATGAAGAAAAAAAAGAGGGCGAACGAGATGTTGCCAATGACAATATCGTTTCTTCTGTTGAGGAGAATGGAAAAAAATCATCTTTACTTCGTTATTTGATTGGGGTGCTAATTCAAGCTCGTGTCTATGTAGGCACTTGCATATTTGAACGTTTTCCTGTTGTTCATAAATTTTTCCCTTCATGTATTTGTATCGATAAATGTTCAACTCATTAGTATCATCTACCATTGTATTGTGGTCTAGATTATTGTATTAGTTGTTGATCTACATTGAAATTTGCCTGCAATTTGTTACCAACATGCTTAAAGAGATTAAAGGAGATTTAGCGATTTGTTTACTCAACAGAAATTATCTGATTGTTGAACAATTAACAATACTATTCAATTTTCTGGACTTTATTCAAATAAAATTATCAAAAATACCAGAAAGATACTTAAAAGAAAGAGAATCAAGTATCAGAAGGATCTATGATGATCTATTTTCATTGAAGTGGAATTTTATTTGACTTATTTATGGATTGAGAAATTAAAAATGTTTAGAAAACTTGTAACTTTTGTTATTCTTTGTTTCAGCGTGATATTTATATCTGGTTCATTTGGTTGTCAAGTGAAGAGGAACGAGCAAACCGACAGTTTTGTTTGTGTTTGTAATAATGATTATTGTGATCCCTTACCTGTTGAACCCTTCTCATCACCTCAATCATTGACTATATTCTCAACTGATAAATCATATTATCGTTTAACCAAATCAGTTGTATCCGAATCCGATCTTAAGGTCAACCAATCCTCGGATATTAAAGTAACTCTCAATGTCTTTGATCGTTTTCAATCAATAATTGGATTTGGTGGAGCCTTTACTGATGCAGCTGGAATCAACATCAATAAACTAACGAGTGACGCTTTAAAAGATCGTTTGATTGCTGATTATTTTGGAAAAGATGGAGCTGAATACAGTGTTTGCCGAGTTCCAATTGGAGGTTCAGATTTCTCTGATCGTTCATATTCGTATGATGACGTTGTTGACGATTTTGAGCTGAAGCACTTTGCTTTAGCTGCTGATGATCATAATTATAAGGTGAGTTCATTGAAATATTAGTGATGGTTCTTTGATTTCTTATTGAAAATACAAATCTTTTCAACATCAGATTCCATACATCAAAAAAGCTAAGGAGTTGAACGATAATCTCAAACTATTCGGTTCTCCTTGGGCTCCACCAGCTTGGCTTAAGACTAACAATGCTTCTAATGGACTGGGAATATTAATCGGTGAACCTGGAAGCAAATATTGGAAAACATGGGCTAATTATTTTGTTAAGTATGATTATCATTATATGAGTTCCTTCTTTGCTCTGACATATTCTTTCTTGTTTTAGATTCTTTGACAGTTACAAAGAGCATGGAATTGATTTTTGGGGTTTAACACCCATAAATGAGCCAAGAATGGGTTTACAACCGGCCTTTCGTTGGAATGCTTGTGGCTTCTCTCCATACATGATGAGAGATTTCATTAAAATAGATTTAGGACCGACTCTGAAGGCTGCTGGTTATGGTTTGGATAAGATCAAACTAATGATTTATGATCACAATAATGATGACCTTTATTCACATGCACGAGGTATCCTATCTGATGCAGAAGCTGCTAGTTATGTTTCTGGAGTAGCATTTCATTGGTATGCCAGAGGCTACTATGAAGAGTTGAACAAAGTACATGATAATTATCCAGAATATTTCTTGATGTCGACTGAGGCCTGTGAAGGCTCAATTCACTTCGCTCCTGATGCTGGAGGCAAGTACATTGTATTCATAAAAGAATCAGCAGTATTTGTATGATAATATTTTAGGTCATTACATGTGTAGATGTTCTGGTTCAAATGTATTTCTCACCAACGTTCCGGATTTATTTAGGAATACATGTATTTGGCTGAGCAATTCAATCTTAAAGCTTAATAAAAACTTCTTTTCGTTTGTTATAGTTATGCTTGGCAATTGGACTCGAGCCGAAACATATGCACGTGACATAATCGAAGGATTGAATCGTTGGTCAACTGGTTGGGTTGATTGGAACATCGTCCTGAGTATGGATGGAGGCCCTAACTGGGCATCAAATTATGTCGATGCTCCAATAATAGTATCTGATGATGGAACTGAATATTACAAACAACCAATGTTCTATTCTTTAGCTCATTTCAGTAAATTCTTGAAACCAGGATCACAAAGAATTTATCATCAAATCGATGAAGGTCAAATGGATGGCGTTAAAATGACTGCCTTTGTAACTCCAACAAACGATCTTGTTATTATTGTTGTCAATACAAATCCAGACTCTGTTCATATTACATTCAATGGAGCTGGACCGAATAAGTTTACTCTTGAATTTGGTCCAAGTTCAATACAAACAATCATCAAACCATTGAAGTTGTTTGACTGAATAAGAGCTGTTCAATGTATTAATAGCTCAATTCGGACTACTTATTAGAAATATTTTAAACCAAAAGTGAGCGACGGCCAAAAAGCTAAATTTTGTCTTAAAAAAGTCCTGCTGTTAAGCATATTGCTAACGAGGGAAGGTGCCTAAGTGGTACGGTTCGATTCGGGAAATTTTATGATAAATCGATAGAAATGTGTGAAAAAACATGTCTGGGGAAATTTTAGGACTTGCATTTTTCACTTCAATTTTTAT